ATAGAATAGAATAGAATAGAATAGAATAGAATAGAATAGAATAGAATAGTTGGATGAGACCTTGTAGATCATCTAGTCCAACCCCCTGCTTAAGCAGAAGATCCTATACCATTTCAGACAAAGGATTGTCAGTCTCTTCTTAAAAACCTCCAGTGATGAAGCACCACAACTTCTGGGGGCGTTTGGGTGGGTTCCATGAGCTGGGATGGCGCAAGAGCCCATCAAAAAATAAAATCCAGACATATTATGAGTAAGGGGATCCATTTATTCCCAAGAACAAAGAGATTTGATAACAGGGCAGTCACAGTCCTTTATTCACAGGGAAAAACAAGCAAACATAATTGGTCCCAACAAACCTGAGTTTATCCAAGAAATCCGAATTGCTTGCTTGTATACTAGAAACAAAAGGTTGTCTGAGATAACCAGCCACTTCCAAACCCTTCCTATTTATTTCCCAGCCAGGGAAGGACTGGCTATCATCTACATCTGCTTTTCCCCGAGAGCCGGCTTATTGCTTTTCTTTGCTCTCCTCTCCTCTCTGTGCATACGTGCATCTGGGATGGGCCCCATCTGTTCCTCCCCCTCACTCAGCTCAGGCCCCGAAGACAGCTGCTTCTCCAGCTGGGGAGGACGGAAGGGCCCGGCTCTGCCTCTCTCTTTGATGCTGTTTCCTTATATTATTATAAATTGGGAATGTTCCCTATTCCTTCCCTCCATCTCTTCCATGTCTGACTTTGACAGGCCCCAACAAAAGAGGAGGGAGGCCTTTTAACTTCTAAAGTTAACTCAGGAGTCTTGCAAGGGGAAAAAGAGAAAATAAGCAATATTCGGGAACTCAAACACACACTTAAAACACAAATATACAGAGGGAGGGAGGGAGGGAGAGGGAGAAAGACAGAGACCTTCCAGGAAGTGAATAAAAACAGCATCTATGATCATGCACTGAAACCCATGGCTCTTGTCTAAAAATATGATTGTTATTAAAGATGTCCCCGGAAATAAAAGAGAAGCAAGAAATAATATAAATTTGAATTTATTGCAGCCAGCCGGGGGCCACTTACTAACAAAATAATGTATAAAGAGGGGTGTAGCATCCATGTATGTCTGTGTGTCTGCGTGTTTGTATGTGTTCTGACCCAAAACTTGTTCCAAGTAAACAAACACCAAACAGAGATAAAAGCAAAAGCTTTTAATGCTTTTCTGCGAATCCCGTTCATTCACGGTTAAAAGGCTATTAGAACTAATTGTCTCTGATAAGAATGAGCCTTGCCAAGGTCGGGCAAGGCTGCCAAAAGCACTAGATAAAGTTGCCAAGAAATATTCCAAAGAAAAAGTCTTCAAACACAAACCAAGATAGTCTGAACTTCTACAAGGCTTGAAGTGCAAGAACTTCTTTGCTTCCTGCAAAGAACTCCGGTCTCTCAGGCTGGCTTTTGTCTCTTAAGGGAGGGGCCATTACCTTGTAGCCTTACTCCCGGGTTGCCCGTGGTGTTGCAGCTGCTCTTTCCTTTGAGCAGCCCTGCATGCACGCACACTTGGCACAGGCTCCTCAGCCTCCTCTTCATCACTGCTGCCAGCCTCCACAGTCTCCGAAGGCAGCACTCCCTGATGGTCCTGGCCCCATCCTGGTATCACACACAGGGCCCTCATCTGAGTCCTCACTATGGGTGTGTGTATAAGAGAAAAAACATATAGGTAGTCCTTGACTTACGACCACAATTGAGCCCAAAATTAATGTTGCTAAGCAAGCCAGTTGTTAAGCGAATTTTGCCCCCTATTACAACCTTTCCTTCCACCGTTGTTAAGTGTATAGCTGCAGTCGTTAAGTTAGTAACACAGTTGTTGAATGAATCCGGCTTCCCCATCGACTTTGCTTGTTCAGAAGGGTGCAAAAGGAGATCAGGTGACTCAGGAAGATTGCAACAGTCATAAGTACATGCCAGTTGCCAAGCGTCTGAGTTTTGACCATGTGACCATGAGGAAGTTGCAACCGTTGTATATGTCGAAAACGGTCATAAGTCACTTTTTTTCGGTGCCGCTTTGATCGGTCACTAAATGAACTGCTGTAAATCAAAGACTACCTGTAGTGCACTCTTTATTATCAGCAGATCCATAAATTCCCATTTCTTTCTTTCTTTCCTCTTTTTAGCCAAATGTCCATAAAAGGATTACAGTCTTTAATAAAATAAAATAAAATAAAATACCCTTTTTTATGTACATGTGCAACACATGTCAAAAGGAAAGACTTTGTAAAGTTGTGCCTGCCATTTTGACTTTTTTGACTCCTCCGTGGGTACCCTACGTAGATGCAGATAGAAATTCTTGGCTCAGAACACACACGCAACATCAAACAGCAAGTTTTGTCGGCAATAAACAACCCGCGTTGTGGATTTCTTGGGGCAGTTTCCAAGCCTGAAGCCGTTCCCGGCATTGTTATCTGCAGCACAAAAATGCCAGCGTGTTAAACTTGGAATATATGATATCATGAAAATATGTTCTCATCGCGAGGAAAAGATTCCCCAAGCCCTTCTCTTCTTCTCCTTCGAAGCAGAGCTGGGAAACGGCCACGTAAATAAGATTCTCCGTGGTTTAGAAAAGGGCTTGCAGTTGCTAAAATAAGATTTACATCCCCAGGGAGAGAGAGAAAAAAAAAATAGGGAAAAAAGACTTGATGGCAATTAATTCATAAGTGTGGACACCGAGAGCAGAGCGGAAAAACAAATATTCCTGTTATCTAACGGGTTGTTGAAAAGAGAAGAAAAGTTATTAAGGGCTGGAAATATTCCTGCAACTTATAGGCTACTCTTCCCATTTAAAGATGGCGGAACTGGAAGGTTCCAGAATCGGGTGAGTCCAAGTAGTTAAAATCCACTTAGATTTTAAGCTTCAGAAGGATATGTGGATAACATGCCTATCTCCTCCTGTAGAAAGGAAAGGTAGTCCTTGACTTAAGACCACAGTGGCTAAGCAAGATGGTGGCTAAGTGAATTT